TGGGGATGAAGATGTCTTGAAAAAAGCTCATATTTTTACAGGGTCCCTGTTAAGGATATTGGTAAATTTTCGATGCCCCCTCTCCAAGTTTTTAAAATTTTCAATGCCACCCCCCCCCCCTGCGCAGAATCCGGAATCGAAGGAGTACAATCCGGAATTTTCTCTAATCGCAGATACAAATTTGCAGTTCCTCAGGATGTCTAATATACTCAAGCACGTGCTTCTCCTCAACAAAAATACCGACTTGCTGCTTCTTTCACCTCACTATCGCCATATGAAATGGCATCGTCTTTAAAAAACCGTTTTAGATTGGCTCTAGGGGCGAAATTATCAACAGGTTGTTGTTGTCCATCATTAGATAGCTTAAGATCTACGACGTCGACGCCAGCTAGGACGTCAGGGCTAAGCAGAGGACTGGGACTACATTAGGACGACATCCTAGTCCCAGTCCTCTGCATAGCCCTGACGTCCTAGCTGACGTCGACGTCGTAGATCTTAAGCTATCTATTCAGCGTAGTCGGAGTCGTGAACACGTTCATGTAGTGTTCGCGATTTCCTGGATCAGGGTAATGTGCTGGAATCCTAGAGAACCTCGCCCCCACCCAACGTATCTCCCGGTATCTGTTGCAAATTTCTTTGCATGCCTGTCACAAATGCATGCAAAAGCGCCAGTATGCTTCAATTTCTTTAATTGTCATCCCGTTTGTTCAGTTTGTACTAAATATCCCATGAACATAGAACATATCATTCTTATAAATCGTATATTTTTTTATTTTTGGAACTGCTACTTTTTGGCGGGTAAATTACGTCACAAACCTGGTGCCAAAATATTTAAAATAAGCTATAGGTGATTTCATGTATCCATTTAGAAGAGCAGACTAAGGATATCCTAAAACTGAAATCGATTTCGAAATAAAACCATCAGGGACGTAGCGAAGCATCTGAAATTGGGGGGGGGGGATGTCAGAGGATTTTACCTCTAATTTGAATTTACCTGAAGTATAATAATTATAATAAAGCTTTTTGCGATTGATTTGCACTGTCATACTAAGTTTTGGGAGAAAAGGGGGGTCTGTGCGTCCTCCCCCAGAAAATTTTTACATTTTTGAAGCTCTAGGACTGAATTTCTGGCGTTTGCTAAAGCAAATTTGCAAACAAATTGAATGTAAATTTACTCTATTTTGCAAAAATGGTTATCATTTCACAAAAATAATTACTTTATTACGCAAATTTTACCTGAAAATGTCAAAATTTTAACTTGAATTTTACATAATTTTCCCCCTGAATTACACAGTAGGGAGGGTTTACACCCCCTCCCACACCCCCCGGTCGCTACGTCCCTGACAACCATTCCTTGCGAAGATGACTTAAATTTCTAAAAATCCGCCATTTTGTTTTATTTTTAGTGACAATATGGCGGATTTTTCGACATTTGTATCGCCATATCTTCCCATAAAATGGTTGTATTTAGAAACAGATTTCAGTTTTAATTCATTAAATGGATATGATTTATAAAATCGTCAATAGCTTCTTTTCCATTTTTCGGCGCCAAGTTTGTGACGTGATTTACCCGCCAAAAAGTAGTAATTCCAAAAACAAAAAAGCATACGATTTGTAAGAACGATATGTTCTATATTCATGGAAAATTAGGTAGAAACAGAGTGAAAATTTCAGAAGTTGAAGCATATTGGTCAGTTTTGCATGCATATTTTTACGTATTCCATGTGGAGCTTCCCCATACTGGTTAATATAGAATAAATGGTTTGGAAATCATTAGAATAGCAATATAACTCATTATCTATGTTAGTCAACGTTTATGCATAAATGTGTTCCTTCACCGTCACGTGTGCGAAAATTAGGCGCGTCCGTCGAACTAAATTCTAGTTTTGATTCCATTCTAGTTTTGAATCCAAATCTCGAGCGAGACTTGGAGCAAGTCTACAGGCTAGATGCTACAGAAATGACAAACCGCTGAAACATGGGGTGCGCGGGCAAAGGTATGTCGATTTGTTGATTGCTCAGTGCATGTGCTTATTAAATTTCGATATTTTATGGAATTTTTGAAGTGAATGAGTGAAATGTTGTGTAATGGAACAGAGAACCAACAGATTTTTCTGTTCTTGTGAAATGGAACTTTTTGTGGGCATATTGAAGCGTATAGATAAGATTTTGCAGTTGTCTGTTCAGTTATAGATACACAGTATGACGTCATTATGTGGAAAGAACAAAAAAGTGGCCACGAGCCGAGTTTGTTTTGGATATTGTTTTAGGCACATGATTTGAGAAATATTAAAAAATGAGGAAATTCATGATCCGATAAACATTAAGTACTTTTTTTCCAGGTTTGTAACGAAACTTTCGTTTTAAATATCTATCAAATCCTTGGCCATTCTATAAAACACTAAATATGAAGACATATCAATATTTCCTGGTGAATGTCTCGGATTAGGATCAGTGCCATTAAAATAACCAAAGTACTTAATAGTGTTTTCACTTTTTAAATCTACTTGATTAGTGATATCTTTAACCCAGGGGACAACTTCTTGCCCAGGGCACCACCCATCACGACCATACAACCACGTGCCATGTTCATTCGGTTCCACGCCCCTATCAACTCGCTCGGCACAGCCCATTGCAGTCGCAGCATTTTTGAACACTATAACATTCGGTGATATATCATTGACAGTAAAATGATGCGACGTAACACAAAACTCGGCACATCCATTATTATCCTTGCCATGTCCTGTAATTATCGCGACAAGTTCAACTCTCTTTGCCCATGTTGGTGGATTAAAACTGACATCTTTATACTTGCTGTTATAATTTTTATCAAATTTTCCTCCATGATACAATTTCAGTATTCCATAGGGAACAATATCAGGAGAATATCGTCGTTTACTGTATCCATGTTTGGAATCTAAACAAAAAATTATAATGGTATATATATATACAGTTGAAATGCCACTACTAACTTCAAACCTTTCTATTTTTGTTAGGCAAAATGACTTTCAAAATAATGAAGTAACTAAATTTCGGACATTTGCGTATTAAACCGAAATACCTCCTGAAATCAAACTAAACTATCTTTTCCACCGAGTCTTCTAACCTTCGTATTTGACTTTATAGTCTCACCTGAGATATGGTCAGAAAAACGAATATTGAGTGAAGGTGTCCATGGCATTTCCCAAGGAACTGTCTTCATCGTCAACGTGCAGGTCGAGCTTGTAAACAGTGGTAGGAGTGACGTGATTGGAGTTAGCCACCTTCCAACTGATCTAGAAAAATGATATGGAAAATTTAAACTATAGTCTATACATACATGCATGATGTATAAAAAGATTTTTATCTTGCATTACAATCGTCAAAAGAATTATTTTGCTACAAATCACCTATTATATATAGTCGTAATACCGACCGGGGGCTGGTTGTATAAAAAAGTGATTAAAGTTATTCATAGTTAAGTGGAAACGTCATCCAATAAGAAGCGCCTATTTGAGAGTTAATCACTATCTAACTACAAAATAGTGATTAAAAAAGTGATTAAGAGTTTTATACAACCGGCCCCGGAACGTGCTATAATAATCCCCATTACAATATATTACATTAATACATGAAAAATTGCCAACGGTATGTTCGTGGAAAGATTTTTTGGTACGAGGACAATCGCGTGGGCTAGCGAAGAAGTTTCACGGGAATGATTCTCAAACTTGGGTAAATTTAAATTGTGTGTTGTCTCACACGAATTGTGAGAAATAATGTCTATCTTGGTAAGAATATCATTATGAAAATTACCTGGCATAGGGAGTAACCCAGCGTCCAATCTCCACACCACAAAGTTTGCTCTTATCTTGACAGCATACTGTCAGGTGAACCACGTGATCCCAGCGTGGACAAGACGAGTCATAAGACTCTGGACAACGAAGCGACATATCTAACTCCACGTTACGATACTTGAGAAAATCTTTTGAAAACATAAATTAACAATATATAAAGACTTTATTTCACATATTATGTATATATCGTTCGCGTGCCAAACCGCTTTCTTGGTTACTAAATCAACTTTCCCCTGAAAAAGCTTGGGGCCGCATTAAGGCTGATTTCCACTGTTGCGTTTTTCATACGTACGTATACGCATGTAAAACTGTAAATCCGTTTAATTAACTGTTACTTATGAAATAACCAAATAAATAAAGCAACATAATTCAGTGTCCCGCAAGTTTTAGTATGCATTTGTTAACTTATTTGTAAAATATTTAAAAAATAGAAGGATCAAAGTTTTACGTGCGTACGAAAAACGCAACAGTGGAAATCAGCCTTTATTAGTAGTAAGCCCAAGCCAAACTAGGAGACAATCGTGCAAACGAATGCATAGTTCCTTACCATGTTACCCGAAGTTGGGCAAACCAAGTATACTGTGTATATGTAATGTAAGAAACGAAGTTGATGTAGAGAACTCACTATACAAGTGGCCTAGAAACCACCCTGGATCATTCTGAGCTCAAAGTGAGATTCTATATATGCACCACCCTCCACGTTTTAGATGGCTGCTCTAACCACTGAGCTATTGGTGACCATGGGTCTTACGTATAGTTGCATCATGATGCGGTCCGTAGGTCAAAAATCCACATATAAGATCCTGGCTCACAAAACTTGTAGAGTCTCCAATTTCTCAGTGGTTATATCATCCATCTGGTGGGGATTTCACTTAATCAACTTCGTTTCAAATATGAAAGAAAAGACGTTACTGAATTTGCTTTCTAAGAGGTGAATTATGTGCCACAATAATGTTACTATTAGAGGATGATGTTGCTAATGTTGTCTCAGGAACAACGTTTCCTATTTACATACATGACATACATTATTATTCAGCTCACTCCCCATTGGGGCTTTTCAGTGACCGATTACATCAAGTATTATGATTACTTATGTTAGCCTAGACTGTTTATCTTTAGAACACGGGTAAAAATTGATCAGGTTGTTCGGCGTTGTTCAAACAGTAGCGAACAATGTTGTGCTGCACCCCGTGAACAATATTGTTAACAAGTTGTTCAACCATCAGTGCTGTTGCAAGTTGTTAACATGATTGTCAACAAGTTGCAACAATGTTGATGGTTCAACAACTTGTTAACAATATTGTTCACGGGGTGCAGCACAACATTGTTCGCTCCTGTTTTGAACAACTTGCATCAACATGATTACTTTTACGCGTGAACAATTGAGATATTACTTTCCTAACTGTGCTTATCCCACCCTGTCAACTTTCCCTGTGGGAGGAAACCGGAGCACCCGGAGAAAACCCACGACTTTCGGCAGAGCGTTGGCAGACTCTTTTCACATGAGTCCGTAGCGAGAATCGAAGCCACAATCTCAGAGGTGAAAGGCGCTTGCTCAGATGACTGCTCCATCGAAGCCCCCATATAAATAACAGAATACTACATGTATGTTCGACAGTTACCTTTAGGAAGATGGATTTTATTTGTGACACCTTTGACACCTCGCATTAAAGTGTGGTTGAAAACAGGAATAACTTTAGCATGTCCTTTTGTGTTCTTCATAAGATCTGCTTCGTAATGAAACCTTTCAAAAGAAAATAACACAAATCAATTACTGCATGCATAAAAGGCTTGAAATATCTTAATTGCGTTCTCTTATCATGTCTTATTAATGAATGTAACGACGAATAAGGTAAAAACGGACCTCGATATTTAACCTTGTAGAGCGAAATTTACTGAAAATTCTTTGTCAGCCCTCCTTGCCAGTCTTTCGTATTCCTTATGCCGCGTATGGCATCTTCATGGCAGCAGAGCTCTGGACGCATATGTCGATCTGTTTCCACAGTTGGCAATAGCACATATTAGACTTTGTAGTTTCACTAAACTACCATTTTATGCAGTTTAGCTTTCTGGTTTGGAATTTTTCCGCTCCGAAGCTGAACAACCATGCAATCAAATTACTTGGAAAGCATTATCGACCTCCCGAGTATATGGTAATTCTGAATATCCTGCTCAACCTCATGAAATAATTGTGTTAATAATTTATTCAAACATCTTAATTGGTTCACGGACATATCAGGCATGTCGTCTGCTATCAATGCATTTTACCCTACAAGACCTACACGCAGCCTTTGTATCTTTGGACACAAAACGACTATAGTCTATAATCTCCCGCCTTTAAAGTCCAAAGGTGACTGACGGATCCAAATACTTCAGGCAAACTGAAACCAAAATGGGAAGATACATCAGCCCACTATTCGTGTTAGTTTCTACTAGGCTACAAATTGCTCATAAACTACCACCGGCAGTAAACGTGACTTTTTCTATCACTTACTTACCATTGTGCTTCATACGCAAGAAAGTGGAGCGAGGGATAAAGAAATAGACCAACTTCTGCAAGTCTTCCTTGGTGGTCAATGGCAAAGAAGAAACTATCTTGACTCGTGGTTTGTAATTCAACGAACAAATCTTGATCCTTCATCATTCTTCTTGCCTCATCACCATCATCAAAGGAGATCATGGCGGCTGATGCACCGAGAAGATGAAAGCATTCTTCATTTTTACATTTTATTTCTTTCACTGGTTCATTCTTTTTCGCATAAATTAACACGAACCTCATTCCCATCTTTGCTACATTTTGAATCTGAAAGAAAACATGAAGATCGTCAACAAAAATTGACGTGAACAGTTGCGGCTGCGGTTTCCAAATATAATTGCATTATTTTTACCTCCGGCAGGAGGTTATGTTTCCATCTGCTTTTTTACGTGTGTATGTGTGTCTGTTTGTCTGTCAGCAGGATAACTTCAAAAATATCAAACGTATTTCATAAGAAAATTTGTATGTAAAATTTTGGTTGAATTTGGTGGAGATTGTATGAGAAATTTATAGCAAAAGTTTGTCATGTTTTGCCTGACAGAGTAAACTGAATGGCTGCGTAATTAGCTCATTGTAAACATGATACCATAACTAATTCGTTGGTGAAGGTGTGCAGTTTCCGAGTGCCCTGTAGCTTAGTATTGGATTGATTATATCTCAAACGTCGGAGCAAGGGTATAGGTAGTATGCATAACATTAATAAGCTGTTGTAATTTATGTTTGTTGTTGAACTATCTGCATAATTATCTGCATGTGATTGTAGTAAATGCACTCCGACGTCTCAAGCGAAGTCCGTTGTGGGGAGATAAGCAGCAGTTAGTTCCGAGGTAAGCAGCAGTTAGATCCAAGGCCCTTAAACTTTTCAGTTACCTCCTACGAAGGGCGAAGTGTCAGATTCATATACAGTGTATATTATTAGCATTATTTAAGTATAAAAGCATGGATTTTTATACCATTTAAAAACAAGCACTCGTACTGTACGTTCACGAGACTTCAAATATCAAATAGCAACATCCGTCGTGCGGACGCATGCAAATTTGATGGTCTTTAATTTTGAAACAAACTCGTTCCAAATTGGTATACCTGCATGGTTATATACCTTTTGAAAAGTCGAGCATTCCTCATCACTGGAAACAAGTGCGACTTCTTTAAAAGCGGTCTTCATTTGTTTTGCCTTTGGAGTGTGATGACATGGATTGTGAACATATCTCAAACGTGTTTTCTCATGTTTGACAAGAGTTCGAAATGGCATAGGTTGCCAATCATATCGCGCCTCTAAACGAGGAACAACGCGTAGAATATCTCCTATAATAAAAGAAATGAGATTTCTCTCTCTTGAAAGTGCAGTAGTTGCAGAAACCATTTTCTGCATCTGAGTGCATGCTTGCATACATACATTAAACTTGGAAACTTTCAATGAGACATCGGTTTAATTTAAGGTGATTCATCAAATTGTTCTGGAAATGAGAATTTGCTGAAACTTCCCAGGGGTGAAGTTTATGATATATATGTTCATTGTAAAAACAGAAAAAGCTTGGGGTCACCGAACTCATTTCGAAGATATGACAAGTGCAATATGCCATCTTTTCCCACATGTGGCGCCATCCTGACTTTTTACGAGTTACAGGAACAATCGCAATTGGTCCGTTATTGAATTTTATTAACAAGGATCCTACTAAAAATGTCTGTCTAGTGATTATATACAAGAAAACATGGTATTTTAGCGAATCAAAAATCATTGAGCAGACGTGCATTGTCGTGGTGCAAAGATGTCTTTTCCCGTCTTCTCAGAATGTTATTTTGGGAAGCATGCTCGAAAAATGTAAAATATTATAAGTTGTAGAAATGATTTTTCTCTTACTTTCTGATGACATGTAAAATGTATAGAAGAGAAAAAATATAAAATAAAATAAGTAGGAGGGTTAAACATGCAACATGATGTGGTTTAGTGTTAGTTGCACAGGCAGCCCTAGCCAGATTTCTGTCATTTTTAAAGGTATAATTCCTGAAGCAAGCTTAATCAATGCAGAGTGTTTTTCTTTTTGCCCTTACTCTTTCTTTATCACTTTACATTGCAGTTCGACTACCTATATTAGCTAGAATTTGTTATTAGATATATATGCGCAGTAATAGTGCACAATGCAAAACTGATGAATCATCTTAAAACTATTAGTAAATGACCGAAATTACCAATCAGAAATTACCGATTACCGATCTTATGATGTCACGCGTCAGTCGACCTATAGTAAAGGTGACGTCATTCATTTCCATTTTTCAACGATAACTTCCCAACCACTGATATCAGTGCTTCCAACGTTACTCTCGTTAAAACCGTTCATAAACGACACACTTCATGATCACGCATTAATTTAACGCAATATATTAAAACGCAGCGTGTATGAACGCGCAATGTATATCGATCATTTCTAAAGTGCGTATTTTCTCAACAATCGGTTTACACGATCGGAAATACAGTTCCGATTGTCTACCGATAAGGCAAAAGTCGGCCCGATAACGATTATCGGTCAATCACTAAAATCTGGTTCAGCATATCTACGGTGTAATTTGTAAATCCTGGGTAATATTGCACATTAGCCTACAACGAAGAAAAAAACTTCTCGATGTTCTGAGGAAATGCCTTTCATCAGTCTTCAAATTGTTTTACATGGTATAACAATTTGGAAGAAATCTTTTAATCATGTTAATCATGTTAATTTGTTAATCATGTTATTGAATATTCACATACAACATTTTTATGGAAAGAAAGTCGTGTCAAATGCGGTCTTGCTTGTTTTCAAAGTTCTCCCATGTTAATATAAACAACCCTTATACAATAGTAAACGTAGACTATACTGCATCAAATTGATCTGCTTATCGTACACGCAAACAAAAAGTTACCTTTACTATTTTTGAATGCAACTTGTGGTAGACCACACCCTGTGCCAAGGCAAGGCCATCGTGCCATCACAAATGGTATCCAATTCCCAAAATCATAGAGTGGAAAGGAAGCAAAATGAAAATTCTTCTTCCAGTTAACCAATTCATCCTCCTCAGAATGTTTACTATCATGAAGTAAGAGTGGCTTGCCCGTTTTACTGAATTCGGGACGCTTTTCCACTTTCTTTGATATGTGTTCCATTCCAATTTCTTCACTATCTTCCTCATTATTTTCTATGTCCATAGCAGTATGTTTAGTTTGTTTCTTTATGGATCTTCTGAATATCCTACTGTTCAGCATGCCTTGATCTTCATTCCTATCTTTCGTTTCTTGCGAGGCAATTCTAAGGAAGAAATGAACAGAGAAACACTGAGTAAACTAACGTGCTGGTCGGTCAAAGAGAAAAATACTGAAGGATCGTGTCTTCGTGATAGTGTTGTAAAAGTCCAAATCTCGGGCTCAAATTTTCAGCTTATACCCAGCGTGGACACATAACTCAGTGTAGCATCATCTCAAATGTTTTTCTGATACTTTTCTGGTTTCAATAATGTGACTAGCAACTGTTATTCTTTGAGTAATGTACTGTCACCAAATATGCAGATTCAATAAAATAAAATGAGAACTACTGAATTAAAAACTCAAATAATTGCAGAAAAAAACCATTGACATGCACAATTACAAATGAAGCGCCCACATGTTGACAAGCTTTATCTTGAGTTCCACAAAACCTATTGAAACAGATTATGTACGATGTAACCTATATTATTGAAAACTTTGCCAAGTCTTTACTTTTACAAATAATTAGAATGGGATTAATGATATAAACTATATATATAACTACTTAACAATGATATAAACTATATATAACTACTTAACAATGATATAAACTATATATATAACTACTTAACAATGATATAAACTATATATATAACTACTTAACAATGATATAAACTATATATATAATATAACTACTTAACAATGATATAAACTATATATAAGTACTTAACTGTGTACCTACAACTGAATTGACAATGGTTAATGCAGGCAAAATGTTATCTATATTTGTTAAATAGATAATGTTGAAGAGGTTAAGTTTATATATTAATTAATTCATTCGTTACAAGAAAAAGCCTCAAAATTGAAGCAGCCAATGTGTATTTTGCAAAAAAAAGCTAGAGACTCCATCGATCTCTTGCCTCCTTTGAAACCTTCTAAATTAAATGCAGTGACGATGATAGCCTCTGAATTCAAACAATATCTACACAAATTAATATAACTTAAACAAGACGCCCGCTCGGCGTTAACCTCGGGACGGTGGATAGGGCATCGTCTGGTAAATATGCAAAAATCGTGTAAATCACGATAGTTTAATAGTTCACTAGTATAAATGGTGAATCAGTCAATCAAAGCTCCGTTTTAACATTTTATTGATAATAGTTAAATACAGGAACAATTTAGAGAATTTACTGACGCAATTATTTAACTGTATTTATTCATTATTTGGGATATTTTGTGGACGAGTGAATGATATACATAGCTACTTCACTACTTCATCTTGTATTTAGCAACACTAACAGACAATTCTATTTCAGAACCATCCTCAGAGATAGGAAAACTAGTTTCATATTAATCTGACACTGCAATCGAGCAACGAAAAATTCGTTGGCTGGAGCGGGATTTGAACTCGCATCTTCGGGTATCTAGACCGCCGCTCTACCTATTGAGCTATCGAGTCAACAGGGATTGGTAGCGAGTCTTATCCAATTTAAGTGCACGAAATATTTTCGT